ACTTATCCCTAAGGATAGCTAAAGATAAAAAGAAAAGAGAAGCCATCGACTTACCAGACGCAAGGAAATAAATTGTATGATCCAAGTCGAGGACACATGAGAATCGAATCATTTATAAATACTCTTAAGCATTCAGCTGCTTAGAGTACTCTGCGGGGGGGACTAGATGATATAGCCATAATGCAGGTTGGCTCGAGGGCCTTAACCCTAAAACTAGGAACTGACAAATACCTCGATGTCGGCTCATTAAGGTGTTCAGAATAATCTTTGCGGAATCGACCTACAGCAAACCAAGAACTAATAACACTCCATACAGGTACTCCGAGGTCGACTGTACTCAAGTCGACCTGGCGAAGTCGACCGCGATAAGATCAATATGCTCTAACTACGATCAGAATCTAGAGGGAATTATCCCTGTTCGAGGTCGACTCCTCATATGTCGACCTACTACACATGACGATGACCCCACATAACGTTCCCCATGAACCTGCTGGTACTTCAAAGGGATAAGAAGAATCTAGAAGGTGACTCAGCGAGAGGAGAAGACAAATCGGTCAGGGCAATTTGGACCTCTCAGGACCACCGACCTAGGGCATTTCGGGTACATCAGGTAATTTCCCTCCTATAAAAGGGAGAAGAGGTAGCCCTAAAACCCTAACTCCCATTCACTCCATATTCCCCTCCATTGTTGCTGCTTCCTCAGAGCAGTTCCTCATTTTGTTCACATACTGACTTGAGCGTCGGAGGCTCTACGCCGGAAACCCCTCCGGCGTTGAGTTCTTGCAGGTATCCCCGCGGTCCGGTAGCAGTTTAGAAGCCGTCAAGTCGGATCTGAGTTCACCCTCATCGGTTCGCTCCAGATCTGAGCCCATTCTCATCAGATCGCCCCGGATCTGGAAAGAGACACATCACCCGTCTTCTAGCCTGAAACCGACCCGGACACAATGGGTTAAAAAAGAAATTAAGACTTGGAACTGGCCCATTTGTAGCATGGGTTCATGATGAGGATAGTTTAATTATTATTATTATTATTATTATTATTATTATTATTATTATTATTATTATTATTATTATTATTATTATTATTATTATCATTAATATTATTATTAGTAGTAGTAGTAGTTAGCTTGGAGAATAAGTTAGGTTTTAGTTTAGGAATCTTATTTAAAGGGCACTTGTGCTTTGTTATTAGGGGAATTAATTATGAATAAAAGATGAATTGATATTGTAAGTTTTATCGAGAGAGTCTCGTTTTACGTGTTTTACGAGAGAGTATCTCATGTACTCGTTTATCTTTCCCATTCGTAAGTTTTCTCTACATCAGTTGGTATCAGCAGTCAGTACGATCGCGATGCCGCCGAGACGACAAGATACCGCAAATAAACAACGTGATGCAACCTTCAACGATCGGTTTCAGCAGATTGACTACCGATTTCATGAGTTGGACGTGCGTTTCACGGATTGGTTTGCCGATCTTTTGACGGGGATCGAGGATTTGCATTTGACGCTTAACAACGTGGTTGTTTCGGAATTGCAAACGAACCGCGATGGGGCTGTGGGTCGTGGCTTTCGCGGGGAGACAGAGGCGGTTGTGGGGAACGCAGCCATGTCGGGGCGCCCCGACAGCGGTCTCGGCCACCTCTGAACGGCTTCGTGGACGGCGACGATCAACGCAGCGACATGGGCTGGCGCGAGGAGGCAGCCTTCGCTGGCGGATATCGTGCCCGACGCGATTGGGGACTTGATCATGAATATAGTCAATTGGAGGGCCCGTTTCGCGTGGTCATTCCCGATTTGGATGGAGAACAACATGACGGACCATTGTACGACGGTCCTCCAATTTTCGATGAGGAGCTACCGAGGCCAGAGGATAAAGCTGGAATTATTGCTATTAATACCGTTGAACTTGATGCGATTCTTGGTGGCCGCATTGTGCAGTATAGAGAATTACATGGGCACGAGTCTGACAAAGTTTTGTCATATTTTAATTCATGTTTCATATCCCTTGAAGGTGGTGTTGAATTTCTTAGTTTTATGATGCCCGTGGGTGTTTGGGCTGGAAGTAAGAGTCCTATGTTGTGTGGGTCGGCTAGAGTGGACGTTGGGAGACATTCAACTTTCGTGATCGATAGGAGAAAACGTCGGACGATGATTGCCATGGGTATGACTCCAGTGTCGGTGCGTTTAGTGTGGCTTCGAGGGCGAAGCCTTCCAAACCGGAGGAGAATGATGAGGATAGTTTAATTATTATTATTATTATTATTATTATTATTATTATTATTATTATTATTATTATTATTATTATTATTATTATTATTATTATTTAGCTTGAAGAATAAGTTAGTTTTAGTTTAGAAGTCTTATTTAAAGGGCACTTGTGTTTTGTTATTAGGGGAGTTAATTATGAATAAAAGATGAATTGATATTGTGAGTTTTATCGAGAGAGTATCTCGTTTTACGTGTTTTATGAGAGAGTATCTCGTTTACTCGTTTATCTATTTTACTCGTACGCTTTCTCTACATCAGTTCAGTTCAATGACCAGTAAATACGGGCTAGTTCTGGGTTGACCCGACGATTTGGACCGATATTGGCAATGTCTTTCGAAAAAAAAAAAAAAAAAAACTATTACACGGGTGAAAGGGGCCCACACGGTGTGGGTTTACTGCAAGCAGGTCCACCGTAATATGATTAGGATAATTGAGGAATAAAATAATAATGGCGAAAAGAATAAGCATTATTATTAGGGTCTAAGGACAATTATGTTGAACGAGGGCAGTATCATTAACACATATTTTAGCTCAGTCAGAATAAAGTTGAACACAATTATGTGGGATTTAAATAAATAATGTGTTATTAGATATTTTTAGATCCATTTTCGTAGCAAAATATCTTAGGCGTGTGCAGTATGATAATCATTTGTTTGACAATTAGTGCTATTGTACATTGGATGCAATAAACTAAATAATAAAATATCAACATTTATAATTAATTGTTAACAAAATAGTTGTTTCTAAGTCGTATTAACTTCATTGATTATTTCAAAGTGGATGAAATCAATCCTTTTAAACGCGGACAGATCCAACCTACTTTTCAATGCACCAATTATATTAGAATATACACTTGTGAGTTGTCTCATATCGTCTATACGAGGAAAATTGGCCTAACTTGTAATAAGCCTAGTAGGTTACTACTCCTATCACTAATTGATTTTCGAACGGAATCTCACTTAAACTTCATCTGAATTTCCCCTGCTTATATGCACTTCACGTGCACCGCACCCGTTTGCCCTTTATAAACTCACATTCACTAACATATACTTGAAAATAAAAAACTATTCGAATATTGTAATTACTTTGTACATTAATAACCATAATTATCATACTTATCAATAGTAATCCACTCGTTAAAGGTCTCCATTATTCTTAAACGTTATTCATGAAATATGTTGCTAATAACCCCAACTTTTGGATTTTCAACATAATCTATCATCATTGATGTCATCCAAATTTAACTCTCTAAGACATTAATGCGTTTGGTTGGAGATATTGCGTGTGATATCAATCTATTCGGTATTATTTTCATACCTATGGTTTGTTTAATTTATCAAATTTAAACTCTTGATAATGCTTTATCATGATTTTCTATCACTCATAAGACTTTACACCACATCCCACACACTTTTGGTGGACAACACATCATAATTTTTCTTATTAGGTATCTCAACCGAAAAAAATCTATTTTAGAACTCATTTTACAGTAATTGTCATATCAAACAATAATTCATCTCCAACCGAAAAAGCTCATTCTTTAACTGGTTTTCGAAATGTACACTGTGACATTCTTGAACTGGTCTTCGAAATATACATGTAGCGTTCTTTAATTGACCAACAATATATATTAAATAATTAGTTAATTAACTTTTTAATTTAGGAATTAAAATTTAATTAATTTCTCAAAAAAAATTATTAAATTTTTTTGACATGAAATTTAACACTTTGTCGACATTTTATTAGCTCAAAATTTATTTGTCTAATAATAGACACCAATTCTTAGATTCAAGGAATAGAATTATTTATTCAAAGTAAATATAAAATCATTTGCTTTCGAAACCAATCAAAACTACTAACAAAAAATACATAAGACAAACAACAAATGTAAATAACATAAACTCAACTATATGTATAATGTCAGTGAAAATTTTAAAAGCGTAAAAAATAATTAATAGAATGGTAATTATGAGTAATCATTGGACTTTTATTAGAAAATTTTGTACTACCTCATGTTCTTTTTAAATGTCATTTTGTTTATCAACCATTAACAAAATAAATGTCATTTTAGATATTTTGAACATATATTTTCATTATTACCCTAATTTAGCTAATAAATATATACGTTTTTTCATGTTCACTCTTTATCTTTTTTCAAAACATTCACCTCTATCTTCATTAAAGAATTATGGGCAAAAAAAATATTCGCAATTACTGTACAACTTCTCAAAACGACAATTATTATAAATAAGAGGGAGTAGTATTTAATAGTTTCGAATGTGAGGAAATGTGAATTGTAGCTATAGAAACAAACATGAGAAAGCCATCGACCCGTACAGAAAGGCCAAATGAGATCATTTCTCACTGCAGTGTGTGTATAAATGGACAGAAACCTGCTAAGCTTTTGCCGAAATACGAAATAACCCAACTAGCAAGGGTCTATATGCAACATATTTTTCCCCCATAAACAAGATTCGAAATTGTTTGTTCCTTACCAAGAGTTTATCAATCGACTGTGTAAGAAGCCAAAGAAGTTTTCCATAACCATCAAAATATTGAAGATTACCGAAAAAACATATCCGGATAGATATCTGATCAGGACGAAGAGAATAACGATACATTATCTCCAAATAATTCAAAAATGTATGAAGCTTTAGAAAAACTCAAAGTACAACTCACGAGTCGATCAATCGACTGTGTCTCCAAAACTATCTTAGTACCTGGCTTCACTTTCAGCTCTTGGAAGCAAGCTTCTCCTTTGCTTTCTGTATCTTCAAGACTTTCTTCACAATCTTTTGTTCTTCCACCAAGAAAGCTCTAATTATCCTATAGAAACCAATAGACTAACGAATTAAAATTTCGGAAAACAAAAAAAA